GGGGCCGGAGGCCCTGGAGGCTCGCTGAGACCCTCACCAACAGCGTGCACATTTTCCACACCATCTCTTCTCGGTCGCAGGCAGCTGGCACCCTGTTTCGCAAAATTCCCCTGCATTTAACGTTCTGCCAGCCACATAAAGCGAAACATGCAAGAAACTTTCTACTCTCTTTGAGATGAGGTGAGGGGCCTTTCTGCCTAAATTGATGTCAGGGTCCTCTCTGGGCGACGCAGGGCACCACAGGAAACCTGTCAGTGACATGTTGATGATCACGGCTCTCCTCCAGGGACCCACAAAGAGTTAATGTCCCTGGGGCCCAGCCTAGGAAGATTCCAGTTCCTGCCCAGGCCCAAGATAGTTGCTGGCCGCATTCCCTTGGCATCCTAGGCTGGAGAGGAGAAGGAGGGGCACACTGCCCGCCTGCTTGGGATTCCTGAGCCAGTTTCCGACTCCAGAGAAGGGGGCGGAGGTAGGTGCCATTGGGTGTGGACAGAGAGCTAGTGAAACAGGACCAGGACAAGTCACTGGCCAGCTCGGACGTTTGTATTTCTCTTTTCTTAGCTCAGTGAGTACTGGGTATGTGTCACACTGCCAAATCCCCAATCACAAGTCTCCATGAACGGGCGGTGAGCTGGGATAATAAAACCCCTGACATCACCATTCCAGAAGCTTCACAAGCCTGCGTATATAAGGGGCCGGCTGGAGCTACAGCTGAAGGAGCTGACCAGCCGGCTGACCCCCCACACTCACCTGGCCACCATGGACATCGCCATCCACCACCCCTGGATCCGCCGCCCCTTCTTTCCTTTCCACTCCCCGAGCCGCCTCTTTGACCAGTTCTTTGGGGAGCACCTGTTGGAGTCTGATCTCTTCCCAACTACCACTTCCCTGAGCCCCTTCTACCTTCGGCCACCCTCATTTCTGCGGGCACCCAGCTGGATTGACACTGGGCTCTCAGAGGTAAGTCTCCCCTCTGCCAGGACAGGAGAGTTCATTCTGGAAGTGTCCCCATCCACTTTCCTTTTCCTCCCTGCCTAAATCTGGCTCTGTCTAAGTGTCTCAAGTGTCATAGGCACTTGTATGTCTCACAGTGAAACAAGACGAGGTCCCTAGTTCTGCTCTGCCTCAGTGCCAGTGCATCTGATGTGCCTTTGTACCCTACTGATTACATTTTCCCCATGTGCTATGCATAGTACTCTGTGTTCCTTATCTCCTAAGTAGGATGTCCTTTCTGGTTTGATTTATAAGGATCTACAGGGAAAAAGCTGCCTTCAGACACCTTCGCTCACTCTTCTGATATCTCACACTCCTGACAAATATTGTCATCTCAAACTTCAGAGCCAGGAGACAGTCCTACCTCATTCTGAGGTTTTTTTTTATCCTCGCTGCTTGAAGCTGGACACAGCAACCACACTATTTTCTTCCTTTCTAGTCCCTCTTTTATGATTTTCCGAGTTTCTCAGGGCTGTGACAGGGCACTGGCCTGGGTTCAAGACTAATGAGGAAAGAATGTAGGTTTAGTCTTGGGGCCCACCCCCCAACGACTTGTCCTAAAAGGGTGGGAGAATGGGGTGAACAAATAAGGGTGACAGAAGCTGTCAGAGATAACACTCTGGTTTAAAAATATTCAAGTGTGAGTAAACAGGAGCTGAGTGGGTGAGGGCTTTGGAAGGATAGTCAGAGCCAGCAGAACATTCCAGATTGAGTGGGTGGGAAACTTGGCAGAGACCTGAGCAAGAAGAAGGGGCCTTTGTCTCACAGACAAACGACAAGGCCAGGCATTAGGTCAGAGCAGCAGCAGAAGCCATGTCCAGTCTCATCCTTGTGATCTGTCCCCTGGGTGGCCTGTCTTCTTCCCTGTCCCTGTAAATAAAGTTTGGGTCTGATGACCAAGTGTTGTACCTGGGGTACCACTGTGGTAGCTTTTCTGAACGAGAGAGCCATGTTTACTCACAAAGGGATTTTTAGCCAAAAAGAGAAGAATAAACTACCTGGACAGAAAGTAAGTTTGCAGAATAATGATACTGTACTAGTGTAATCCACACTCCTACCATCCTTTCTCCTACCCTCTCCCCACCTTGCTATTTCTAGATGCGTCTGGAGAAGGACAGATTCTCTGTCAACCTGGATGTGAAGCACTTCTCCCCTGAGGAACTCAAGGTCAAGGTGCTGGGAGATGTGATTGAGGTGCACGGCAAACATGAAGAACGCCAGGTAAGTAGCTGGCTTTCTTTTCTGCTCATTCATCCAGTGCACACTATATGCCAGATACTGCCATCAGCTTCCGAGGCTGGCAACATTCCAGTCCTAAGCCATAAGAGTCTTGGAACAGGCATAGCCCTATTGTTGTTGTTGTTAAAAGTTATTGTGTTGGCTAGAGAAGTGATCTTTGTTGTTTGTTTTGATTTTATTACCTTAAGAAGGATGGATGAGATGTTAGCTTCCCATTTAAGCCAGTGGTTCTCAACCTTGGCCATGTTAAAATTACCAGAGGAATTTTAAAAAATCCCAATTGTCAGGCATATCCCAGGTCAGTTAAATTAGAATTTTTAGGGTGGAACCCAGGCATCAGGATTTTTAAAAGCTCCCTAGGGAATTCTAATATACAGTCAAGATTGAAGACTGCTGATTTAGGAACAGTGGTTGTTAGACATCTGGTTGCTTTACATAGTTACATTAACTGTGTGGCCCCAGAAGGCCCTTGAACTGAGGACTTTTCTTTTAGATGTTCAGAATCCTACTTCTTTTTAGCCCATCTTAATGCTGAACTATGTGGTTTGCCTGTTTCAGAACTGTACTTAGCTCCTAATAATACCCTTGACCCATGTGGAAATCAGTTAATTGAGAACCTGTCTGGATAAATGAGATTCAGCAGATACAAGGGTTAAGGTCAACTACTCTCTGGCAGAATTCTAAAGAATTGAATAGCTTCTCATTACTTTCTGGGAGTTTTTTTTTTTTTTAATGAGTTTGCTCCCTGCTGATTAGTGATAATTCAGAAACTTGTGCATCAAATAGTAAAGTTTGAGGTCCTCAGGCTGTTTCAGTTTTGTTCATATGATTTAACTTTAGTTCATAGTCTCCCTGGATGGAGTCTTTTTATTATTAGTCCCATTGTTCTGGAACATTCCTGAAGAGTCAGGACAATTTCTGGGCTTCCTCAGGGACTCAAATCTTCAATGCCAGATGATATTCCATATCGTGTAGGCCCAACAAATTATCTAAACCTTTGGGAAATACCTCTGAACACATCCATGCCTCAGGGCTTGGAAAGCTATGAAGTTTTGGCTGTTCAATCTTCTCAGACTCTCATTGGCAGGAGAGACAGCCTAGGAAATTTCATGTTAGCCCCAAACAGAACAGCCACTTAGCTTTTCCTCATGTTGCCATGCATTTTGTCACACCTAAAGGGAAGAAGAATGTCTGAGTTCTACACGAGTGGTGTTATTTCCTGTTCTCATCTCTGCCTCTTCCCTTATTCTCTTGGATCAGGATGAACATGGTTTCATCTCCCGGGAGTTCCACAGGAAATACCGGATTCCAGCTGATGTGGACCCTCTTGCCATTACTTCATCCCTGTCATCTGATGGGGTCCTCACTGTGAATGGACCAAGAAAACAGGCCTCTGGCCCTGAGCGCACCATTCCCATCACCCGTGAAGAGAAGCCTGCTGTCACTGCAGCCCCCAAGAAGTAGATGCCCTTTCTCTAATGCATTTTTTAAAACAAAATTTCCCCACCAGTGAATGAAAATCTTGTGACTAGTGCTGAAGCTTATTAATGCTAAGGGCAGGCCCAAATTATTAAGCTAATAAATATCATTCAGCAACAGATAACTGTCTTGTGTTTGAATATTCCATATTAATCATCACATGATGAGCTAGGGGGTTCTAAGGTTACTTGAGTCAGAATGACTGTCTCCAACACTTACTAATGGTGTAAGTTTAGCAAGTCACTTAAACTTTATGGTCTTTAGGTCTTCCATTTATAACACGGGGTATTGATTTTTGCATTTGTTGTAAGAAGCAAATTAAGGAGAAAAAGTAGGTAAAGCCCTTGGCAGAGTTCAAGGAATATTAGTTCCTCTCTCTTCTCCCTCTGATTTTGGCCCCGAGTTCCAAAAATAAATCTGAAGTCTGGGTGACAATGCATAAAAGGCCTTAGTGCATCTCTGAAATTAATCATGTCATCAGGAAGGAGATGGCGCCCTCAACTTTATTTGACATTTTCCTACTGATAAGCGTTGCCTTCAGATGATTGCACAAGGGTGACAAATAAGACAGGTGATTATCACCAAACAAGCCTCTCAGGTGTAGTCTCCAAATTAGCCAGGAAACACCTATTAAAACTAAGACTGGGAAATATACAATTCCTTGATCCACCATTTTAAACAAAGACATGTTATTCTGCAAAATACCTCTATTTCACTTTTGCGAGTCTAGACAAACTTCTGATTCAATTAATGAAAAATAGCCCTGGTGTAGGTTATCTGGCATAAATGCTTAGAGACACTCGTCACTTCTGCAGCAGCTTCCAGCTGATTTCTGATTTCTCACAAGGATGCTTACCTTAGCAAAACCTACAGTTGGGGACTGGCTATGCTTTAAAAATATTATACATGAAATAATTGCTGAAAGTTCTCATGATGCAGGGGTGTGGAGCTAGGACTATTTACATTGCAAATCTATACAGGTTCAAAATGTTTTCTCTTAAAAAACAACTTCCTAATAGCCTGAAATGCTGTGACCTAGCCAGGAGTCAGATTTCTCTAAACTTAGAGCCAATTTTTATGACACTGTTGATTGCCTACGTAACCTATTTGCCACCGTCAGTCTTGCCAACAGCACCCCTGATTGGTTTAGGTATCCATCATATCCTTCTTAGCCACATGCTTCAGGAAAGTGAACAAACGCTCCAGCCATAGTTGATCAATTTTTTTTTTCACAGTTGATATATCTTCAACAGTCCAAGTAAATTATGGAAGTTCTCTTCCCTCAGTAGGGATTAGTCTTGAAAGGGCTACAACCCAATTACAGTCAATGAGACAGGAGAGAAGTCTGCTGGAGATGCTTCTAGAAAAGCCTTTTACCTTTTAAAAAGACTACAGGAGAGAGAGAGAGGAGGGAGGATGGAGGAGGGAGATGGAGAGAGAGCAAGAGAGAGACAGAGACAGAAAGAGATTGATTTTTTGTCTTCCTCTGGATGTTGGAGTATGAGAATGTGATGCTCAGTGCTTTACCCTTTTAAAACTATCATTTTTTAAAGAATAAATCTGGGAAATATACGTACAGTCCACACACATAATTTCAGTAAGATGTAACACTTAGAAACCAAACAGATGTTTTGCCAAGGGTTTGGGAATGATACAGATTTTCATACTTAGAAAAATTCTATTTTATACTTCACATTTTATTTGAATTTTGCACCAGATTTGATCTTTCTTCTGAAGATTTACAATGACTATTCACTCAACAGTTATTTGAGTGCCTACTATGTGCCAGCTACAAAAATAATACATGTTTTCTGTCCTAACATAATTAAGAACTGAGCAGAAGAACAGGCAAGTAAAAAGACAATTCTAAAATTCTAAGGCACTTTTTCAAGATGCTACAATGTCCATTCAAAATGTCTGATATGAGGATCCTTAAGAGAAATACCTACTCTGGACATGGAAGGAATCCTGGAGATTGTTCTGCCTGATTAATTTTTTAACAGTTTTATTGAGATACCATTCACTTACTACACTATTCACCCACTGAAAGTATACAACTTAATGGTTTTTATTTATATTTATGGAGCTGTACATCTATTACCACAATTAATTTTAGGACATTTCACTAGCCAAGAAGATAACTTACACCCATTAGTTATCACCCTCCAATGCCCACCCCTCAATGCTAGGCAATCGCCATTCTACTTCTTGTCTCTATAGGTTTGCTTATTTTGGATATTTCATATAAATGGAATCATACAATATGGGGGCCTTTGTGACTAGCTTCATTCATTGAGCAGAATGTTTTAAAGTTTCCTCCATGTGATTACATGTATCAGTACTTCACTTCTTATTATTGCCAAATCGTATTTTATTACATGGATCTACTGTATTTTATTCACCCATTCATCAGTTGATGGACATCTGGATTACTTCCACTTTTTGTCTATTATGAATAATGCTGCCATGAACTCTCATGGACCAGTTTTTGTGTGGACTTATCTTTTCATTTTTCTTGAGTGTATATCTAGCAGTGGAATTAATTGCTGGACCCTATGGTAACACTCTGTCTAGCCTTTTGAGGTACTGTCAGACTGTTTTCCAAAGCAGTTGCCCATTTAAAATTCCCACCAGTGGTGTATGAAGGTTCCAGTTTCTTGATATCTTCGCTAACAGTTATCATCATTTATCTTTTTGATTATAGTCATTCTAGTGGGTGTCTGAATTCTTAATGGTTTATAAGACTCAGCAAGGTGAAGAGGGAAGAAAATGCATCCAGAAGGGGGAACAGCTTGAAATGCCCAGGTATTTATGTTTGGACGGAGCACTAGACACATGAGAGGAAATGTGGGAAATGAGGCAAGAGTTAGAAAGGGTTTCTGCTAAGGAGTTCGGAATTTATTTTGAAGGCTATAGAAGCCAGTGAAAGGTTTTAACCAAATAAGTAGCATGATCAACTCTGCATTTTTAGACTCAGTCTGGGAACAATACAGTGATTGGTAAGTAGGGACCAAAATGGAAAACAGAGACACCAACCAAAAGGGTATTGCAGGAGACTGGGTAAGAAATAATGGGAAAGTGGAATACAGCAAAAATAACAGAGATGCACAAAAGAGGGGCATAATCAAGACACAACCTGGAGATAGAATTTATAGGGCTTGGTATCGGTTTGAATGGGGAGGATGAGAAAGGGGGATTCAAAATAATTCCTTCGTTTCTGTTTTTGACAATCGTGTGAACTTATTATATAATACACAATACTAAAAATAAGAAAGAGTGGTTAAGATACATTAAAAAAAAGTTCACCAAGATATGAAATACATAAGAAGAAAAAAATTTGAGACAGAAGATTATGAATTCAATTGTAGGTATCAGGAAATTGAATCAGAATATAAAGATCATATATGAAAAATGCACAGCTAACGTCATACTCAATGGTAAGACTGAAAGCCTTTCCTCTAAGACTAGGATCAAGACAAGGATGTCCACTTTTACCACTTATAGTCAATATATTATTGCAAGTTCTAGCTAGAGCAATTAGACAAGAAAAAAAAAGTATCCAAATTGGAATGGAAAAAGTAAAACTATATTTACAAAAGACATACTACATGTAGAAAAGCCTAGAGATTTCACCAAAAAAAAAATCATTAGAACTAACAAGTTCAGCAACACTGCAGGATATAAAACCAACTGCAAAAATCAGTTGCATTTATATACACTAACAATGAACAATCCAGAAAGGGAATTAAGAAAACAATTCCATTCATGGTAGCATCAAAACATATAAAATACATAGGAATTAACTTAACTAAGGAGGCAAAAACACTTGTACACTAAAAACTATAAGGCATTGCTAAAATAAATTAAAGAAGACACAAATGGATTAGAAAACAATATTGTTAAGATACCAGTATTGCTAAAGTGATCTACTGATTCAATGGAATTCTTATGAATATCCCAGTGATGCTTTTTGCAGAAATAGAAAAATCCATGCTCAATATAGACCTAACAGTAGATATAATTAACTTAAATTTGACATTTAAATCTTGGTTTGAAAAAACAGATATATGAAAAATAATATATATATATATATATAAACTGAATCACTATGCTGTACACCAGCCACAACACTGTAAATCAACTATACTTCGATTTAAAAAGTGGGGGATAGAAAATATTTTTTGTGCTTTATTTATTCAGAGAGTAAAACTGCGCTACAGTCGGCTAAATTCTTAGTTGTTCTTAGAATGTGCTCCTTCCTATAATCTACACTGGAAAAATGAAACTTCGTATTCTTTCTTAGAATCCTGGACCCTGAAATTGACATTTATGAGGATGACACACACACACAGAGCGATGCTCGACTTGAGGTTTTGAATAGCTCCTCGTGTAAGTTGACTTCTCTGTGCATTTGTACGGAGGGGGATCCAGCTCAGGTTGATGTCCTGGAAACCAGTGAGGCTCTCGCTTAAATCCTGAGGCAAGAGAAAAGAGGAGTCTTAGTAAGCAATCTCACTCTTACTTCTCAGGGAAACAGACAGTGGCTGTCAAAATTGAGAAATCATTCACTCATTCATTTACTTATTCACTGATTTAATTCATTCTTATTTGAGTTCCTTCTATGTTCCAAGCACTGAGTTAGATCCTGAAAATAAAAGAAGTAAAAAGAATCATCCACCTACTATGGGCTGAAAGTGGCATTTGGCTGTTGTAGCTTGTGTCATATGTAGTTTCAAAGTAGTGTCCAAACTGGAAAGAAAAAGTAATAGGTTGAAAACACAGGAGTCTATAACCAATATTGGTAAATAAAGGGCACAATGACATGAATCCTAATAGGCTCTGTCACGTTTTAGATGGCTGAGAGGTCTATGTGTCGCCAGTCAATATCCTACTAACTTTCATATCCTTTGTTTGTTTGTCTATTTAGGAGATTTAAGGGCACGATGCAGATAAATGACAAGTCTAGATAGACAGAGACCAGAGGAAAAGCTAGCCTGAGTCAGAAGACATTTTATATATATATTTCTGTACATGAATGAGGTCCAAGAGAAGCAAGAGAAAAAGCCTGCTACCCATTTATTATTACCTTACAATAATAAAATATTCAACTTGATAGTAAAGTGGGAGAGGGGTTCCAGCTGAGGACTGCTGCCCTCCCCTAACCACTTCACTGAAGAGAAGCCTGAGAGACCTCACATTGGAAGTTATCGGATTCCTGCCTCTCAAATGGCCACTGATATATATATATATACACATATACATACATACATATTATATATATATATTATATATATATATATATTTTTTTTTACTAACAGAAGGAAACAAAGATGAGGAAGTTCAATTACCTGGGAAGGCAAGGGTTTGGGCTGCACAATATTCCTCAGATCATATCTTTCCTGGTTCCAGTTGCCCATCAGGGTACGGTTTGAATAGGCATCCTCATTAGTGGTACATCTCCACCCATACTGGAAAAACTTGGACATATCATTCCAATCTGTCCACACTTCAGCATGGCCATCTGCATTAATGAGGCTGCCACAGTGTGGGTTTGTAAGGAAGCAGGCGAGGAACTGCCTCTGGGAAAAGGTGAGAACAGAAAACATTGTGGCACAAATCAGAGAGCAGAAAAGGCACCCCTTACTCACCCTTAGCCAAGCAGAACATAAGTGCACCTTCTAAGGATCTAGGCTTTCCTCATAATTTAATTGTCGTGATTCTGTTTCTTTCTCTCCAAGTCCATGAATCCTTTGACCAACCTTTTCAATCAGCAGTAGCAGATGACTATATAGATTAAATGCTCCCCCCATCTCAAAAAGAGAGGAGAACTTCAGTACCCCCAATACTATATGGAGAACTAGATAAATATTCTGGTAATTTTGAGATGTAGGAATTTAAGGACTAAGAGTATTGCTATAGTCAACAGGGAGAAGTGAGAGCTGGATAATTAGATAATACAATAAATGATCAATAAATGATAATTTCCTTCCTTCTGGGCCCAGCTCAAATGCCTCTTCTCAGGATGTGGTATTTCCTTTTCATGATGCCTTCCCTCAAGTTAACTTCTCTCTCACATGTCTCACACAGAACTTTATGTTCATATCTTTCTATATTTATAACTTTATACCATATGTTAGAGTTCTTCAAATACGTGTCAAATCTCTTATGCTGAACCATGCAATCCTTGAGGACAGGATCTGTGTCTTATTTGTTACCACATTCTCTCCTTCTGCTTCCCCTCCCAAACAATAGTACTTTGCACAGACAAGATGATCAATGTCTGAATTTCAGTTTTTTGTAAAGAATCAAAAGCCTAACAATTTTTATTTTGGTCTAAAAGATGAGTCTGGTCCCTTGGCTTAGGAGCAAGACAATACCTTTCCTGAAGATGAGTTATTTGAAACTGAGGAGCTTGTGTTGTATGAAGATTTTGTAGTAGAGTGACAGAAGACCTTACTCTGTCGTTCCATGTTCTTTAATGGAAGAGATGTCACCAAACCTGGCCCTCCCAGTTCTCCAAGCAAAGAAAGAGTATAAATTATCCAGATCACCAGGTGGCCATGATTTGGGAGTCACCACCCACCCACCTTTCCACAGGTAGAGACAAAGCCAATACTGTAGGTTTAAAGGTAACTGCTCTCACACCATGTGCCTTTGTGAAGATACATACATGCACTGATGTCAACAAACAGCATGATGACTAAAGAGCAGCTGGTCCCACAACGTTCAGCAAGCTGTACTCAGACTGCAGACCAAGATGACACTGTCCCTGGGCCTGTAAGGACAGATATCACTACCCACTCAGTTGTCCAAGTCTGAAACCTGGGGCTTATCTTGACTCTGCTTTCTCTTTCAGTTGCTTACATCCATTCAATCTGTAGGTCTTGGTGAGTTTTGAATCAGTCCACTACCCTCCATCTCCACCGACAAGTTCCAATTCAGATCACTATTAGCCCCAGTCTCCAACCTGCAGTAGCCTCCTATTTGACCGCCTTGCCACCAGCCTTGTTCTTGTCTTATCCTTTCTCCATAGGAAAGTAGAATTTTTGAAAATGAAAATCTGGTTGTGTCACCTTCCTATTTAAAATCTTTCAGTGGCTGGCCACTGTTTCCAGGATAAGATTCAGGCTGTTAAAATGGCTTACAATCCCTGTATGACTTGCTTAACTTCTCAGTCTCATTTGTTATCCACTCTTCCCTCAACTACATTCAGTCAGACTCACTATTCTGTTTCTGCATCATGCTTTTGCATATATTGTTCCTTCTGCCTCTTCACTCCGGTAATATGATCCCTCCCGCCGCCGCCGCCCCCCCAGCTTTCAACTCAGGTGCACTTCATCCAGGAAAATTTTCCACTTCACCCCTTAACTTGGTAAGGTTCCCCTTCGGTGCACTCCCACAGCATCCTGAACTACTCCACTCAGCGCTGCATCACACCAAATCAGAATCGCCTCATTTGCTGTGTATCCTCCACCAGACTACACGCTCAGTGAAATCATAGGCCACATCTTGTTCCTCCAGATTAATCGCCGTCACATTGGCCTGGCACATAACACACACTCAGTATTTCTGGAATGAACACAAGGTAGGAGACAGGAGCACCTGCAGAAACTCCGAATAGAGACAATGGGTGGCAGCCATTTCGCGTGAAATGAAGGCCGTTACAAAATCCTCTGTGACAGGAACAGGCAGGACACGGCCCAACCTCTCCGGCGCCTTAGCCCGGCCCTGCTTCCTTCGCTTAGAACTCGCCTCACCCCTGGCCTGGCCCTTCGCACTAGTGACTGCTTGTGACCTCATGCAAGTGTGACGAAGTCGAGCCCTCGGGCTCAAAGGCATTTATTTGAACATTCTTGAAAGGGTGAGTTAGTGAGGGGAAGGGGTGGTCGGCGTCTCGCTTTTGCACTCATGGCTACTTTCATCCTAGGATGTCGCTGCTCCGGTTTGTCAAAACCACCGTGCCCTGTGGTGAGTCATCAATGAGCGACGGCGAACAGGGGGGCGGCAAGAGATCGGTGGAGGAAGTGACGTAAAAAAAGAGCGCCTCCGAGAACGCGGGCAGGGAGCACGCTGAGGCCATGGCCCCTCGGCGCCTCCTGTTGGTCGGGGAGGGGAACTTCTCCTTCGCCGCCGCTCTGAGCGAGACCCTGGATCCCAGCACCAGGTTAACCGCCACCTGCCTCCAGCGGCCGGCCGACCTTGCCGGGTCTCGGCTAGTCCAGGAGAACCTGCAGCGCCTGCGCGAGCGAGGTAGCAAGGCCCACCCCCCTGCGAGGGCCCACCCCCCGCGAGGCCCCGCCCCGCTGCCGGCGCCGCCCTAAGTGGGAGGGTGGGCACGTGCGGAATCTGGGAACGTAGGGATTGCTCTTTATCTTCCCACGGACATCTACAGACAACCCGCTGTGTGCCTAGACCGGGGTTGTTTTGCACGATTCAGGTTGGGGAGGGGCTTTCTCACGTTCTAGATCTTACGACAGCCTTTTGTCTCTATTTGGTGTCAGGGACTGAGGTACGTTTTGGTGTGGACTGCACCCAGCTGGCAGATGCTTTTGAACTGCACGACAGAGAATTTGATCGAATTTATTTTAACTTTCCGCACTGTGGACGCAAAGCTGGAGTAGCTAAGAACAGGGAACTGCTTGCCAAGTTTTTCCAGAGGTGAGGAAGGGCGAGCATTCACAAGCAAAATGTTTAAGATGTACATTACATGGTTACTGCCCTCAAACATGTTAGTTTGGGAAATAGGGCATACGTGTGTAAGTTGTAATGATCGATTTAGAGAGAATGTAAAGCTCCAAAGGAACCTGCAATCTAACTGGAAAGGAAGACATTTAACCCTGAATGCTAAATAAAAGTACAAATAATGTACTCTTGGGCCCGCAAAGGGAGGATCTCCTATTTGTGATAATACAAAGTAATGGTAGCCAGTATAGTCTAATGGCTAAGAGCATGGTTTTAGGAGACAAACTGGATTCAATTCCCCACTCACCACTTGATAGTTTTGTGATTTTTGTGATTACATATACTTAATCTTTAACTGCTTTTGCTTCCTCATCCATAAACTGAAGATATTAGCAGTAACTACCTCATAAAATTATTGTGAACTTAAAAGTGCTTTACACTATTATACCAAAACATGTGATATTATTGGAGGTCTCTTTGGCTCATAGTTGTCAGGGAACTTTTCACAGAGGCAATATTTTAAGTTAGTATTTGAAGTATGGATAGAATTTTACTGGGCAGGAGGGGAGTGAAAAGAACAACTTTCTAAATGTGGAAGGACAGCTCAGTCACTGAATCACATGTAGGAACTTTACAGACATTGACTTTTCAATGACATATGGATGAACAAGGCAAATACAAAGCTGGGTAACACTCTGGTCAGTCACTAGTAATCAGTTATGAGTTGAACACTGAATTTAAATTCTTTTTTACTTCCAGCTGCTTTCTTTGCATGTTTAAAGTCTAATAGACCTTTGCAAATCGGTATGATTGGACTTAAATTATTTCACAGCCAAACCGTGTATATAGTGCTAACTCCCGTGGTAATTTCTGTTTGTTTCTGATAAGTGGTCGGTGTTCCCCTCTCCCCATTAGCTGTGCAGATGTTCTTGCAGAGGAAGGAGAAATCCACGTGGCACTGTGTAGAGGACAAGGTGGGACTCCTGCTGATAAGCCCATGAGAGAATGGCACAACAGTTGGCAAGTGGTTGCCATGGCAGCTCTGGGGGGATTCATCTTAAGTGATGTGCATCCCTTCAGCTGTGAGGCTGTGTCAGGGTACAAGTGCACTGGATATAGGTAAATAATAACAGAGACATAAGCCTTTTTCATCTTTCATGTAATCTAATATTCATGAAATCTAAGGCACATGGAATGCATCCAATTTTAACATTTTTGAGAAAAGTCCTGCTCATTTGCACTTTTCTATAGAATCTGCAATTTGTTGCCCAACATGTACAGCTAGATTTTAATTAAAAATATACTTTTTAATATGTAACCATGTTTTGCTATGTCTCATTATTCAGCCTTATTTTATGAAGTATTTGTTTTTAATGCTTTATTATTATGATTATTATGATTATTTTTTACAGTAGGACCTTGTTATCTGCTCTGGGCATAGTAGTTTGTATCAGCCAATCCCAAACTCCCAATTTATCCCTCTCTCCCCCCTTTTCCCCCTGTAACTATAAGTTTGTTTCCTATGTCTATGAATCTCTTTCTGTTTTGTAAATATGTTCATTTGTATCATTTTTTTCAATGCCACATATAAGTGCTATAATATGATATTTGTCTTTGACTTACTTAGTATGATAATCTCTAGGTCCATCCATGTTGCTCAAATGACATTATTTCATTCCTTTTTATGGCTGAGTAGTGTTCCATTTTGATAAACGATAAATGATTTAAAAAAACCTCATAGACAAATTTTTTTCCTTGCCAGTTTCTTTTAAAAAAAAATTTGGCCAATTTCCTGAGTCAGTCTCTAGAAATGCTTGCTTTTTAAAAATAATGACAGATTTCATAATTGGTGTCTATTTCACCAGGAGTCAAGATAAGTCCTTTTATGTAGACGGTGCTTTGAACCATGTCTTCACCCGGAGCTTACCCTTTGAAGGTTTGCAACCAAGAATCTCCAGGATCAAACTGGGTGGCCAGTGGTTTTCTTTTCTAGAACCAGAAGTACTTGTAGGAAAACTGAACAGGTAACCTGATTTTACCAGAAGTCACTTCTATCTCTAGCTGTATCCTGATTGGCTTGATAATCAGGCAACCATATTATATATTGAATGCATGCTACATGAATTATTAATGATCTTGTGCTGTGAATACTTGTCAGTCTGGCCTACACAAGCCTCTTTAGAATGAAAAATTGTCATGTTTTTTGGAATATTGTAGGCTATCAGAATCCTGAAACACATGATATCTGTTTTTATGGTAGGTGATTTCTCTGTTTCCTTTATGGATCAACTTAAGGATAATTCTTTTCTACACAGCTATTTGTGCTTTTGATTTTAGCTACATTATATTTATAATTTGAAGTTAAGAAAGTCATTTTTGTGTGTGTTTAAACAGGGGTTTCCTAGAAGCATCTTCATGTCATCCTGTCAAAACCATAAATGAGAAACTCATTGGTGAATTGGGGAAAGCTTTCCCTCTAAAACGGCTCAAGTGTTCCTCCCCTTTGCTGCTACAGGGAGGCACCAGTGTTCTTACTTCCTGCAACTATGACATCCTATCAGCTGCCTTTTGGATTAGTCTCTGTGAAGATAACTCAAATGCTGAGTCCCTGACTGGTGGCACAACACAAGACATGGAGGACTTTCTAGTGTCATTTTCAGAACTTAGCCTTCCCAAGAGCCTTACAGACAGTAGGGAAGAAGCTCACAATGGAATCTCTGGCCAAGCCAAGGTCTGCCTTAGACCTTCTCTTCTAGTTCACGTTCAGACTGTAATCCAAGCACCAGACTTCCTCCCAGGCTCTGTGCACGTCCTTAGTGGACCTGTCTTTCGGAAGTGCTGCATCTCGCCCTTCACAATGCCAGCATTTCATGAGACTTTATTTATCCTTGGGTTTAATAAAAATCTGAAGGATGGCTGTCTTCGGTCACTACTGGACCACTTGAAGTGCATTCTAGATAGCCTTCTGACCCAGACGTTGCTGGAGGGCTCTCAGCTGAGCAGTTCAGTAGAATTCGTCTTTCAACCAAATAGGAAAGATTATGTGATTAATGTGAAGTTTCATAGTTTTGGCCCAGATTGTGTCAAGGATCTGACTGTTGGGTCTGTCACTACATCTGCTACAAGCGCTATACACAAAGACCAGTGTTTTGTGTGTGTGTCTGTGAACTTGGACCTGTTGGCCATGCTTGTCTGGGGTATCTCTGATTGGAGGATGTTATGGACCTTTGATACCCGTTTCCTGAAGAATTTTGTCCCTGGGAAAATAGAACCCTTTAAAAGCTATTCCCTACATCCTCCACACTATGTACACGATATTAGTTTTTGGATAGATGAAAAGAAAAGATTTGATGAAGTAGAGTTTCACACTGTGGCCCGAGCAGTGTCCCAGGACACTGTCATATCCATACGATTCCTTAGCCGTTTTCAGCATCCAAAGACTGAACAGGTCAGCCTCTGCTATCGATTGACTTACCAGACGTGTGACAAGGCCCTCACCCAGCAGCAGGTAGCCTCAATGCAGTCCCAGCTTAGGAAGGAGATTCAACGACGGCTACATTTGACACCTCGGTAGTTTAGCAAATTCACCTCTACAGAGTAATCCTCGTGAGTGTGGGTATGGATGAAAAAGACCAATTTGTAACCGGTGGTCCTTTCAGGACAGTTTTGGTTTTTTGTTTTTTTTTTGGTAAGATCTTTTGCTTTGTGACTATAGCTACTGTTGGTCGACTAAAGATACCTGTGACTCCATCACTTAAACTTATAGATTATAATGCAGTTGGTGACCTTTGGAGTTGTGCAATATTTTGATCCCAAATAATGACTACAAAAAAACCCAAAATGGTATCTTATACACGAGATACTCTAATGCTGAAGAGATAGTACATCTTGAATGTCTCATCAAATATATTTATAAATATATTTTCCACATTGTCAGTTTCTCTTCCCTCAACTCTATCATGTCATTTCACTAAATCAATTGAGAGTGGTTTTTAGAGTCAGACAGACCAGCATTTAGCTTGGGTAAGTTGCAAGTGCCCCATATTATTACTGATATCATTATCAACATCATGTTTATTCCATGGTTGACTGCTGTTCAAGTCGTGGAATTAATAAGTGTCAGATTCAGAGTTCATCCTTAGGTCTGTCTGACTCTAAAGCCCATTTTTTTTTCTGCCACTTTCTATTACCTTACTTCTTCCTTAGTTTTCTTCAACAGTAATCTCTCAACTGTGAGTAACTCTAAACTTTGCCCCCCTAGATTTTGGGGCTTTCTGTTGTAAGCATCTCTACGGGATACTGGGAGATTGGCTTAATCCAGGACATTGAAGAATGGGGTGCTCTAAGGTGAATGAATAAATGTTCGTGTTAATTAAGAGTTAGGCTCCACCAATTGTAAACTCTATGAAGGAAGTAACTGACTTATTTATTCTTACATTTGGAGAAGAGCATGTGGAAAGGCAAAATGGAAGCAAAGAAACAAAGTAGGAAGTTACTATAATAATGCAAACAAGAGATAATGGCGACCTGGACCATTATCTGGTGAATCTATAGCAGAGGCTGACCTGTTCAGTCTTTGGGGTAGGTAATAATTAAGAGGATTTGCTGATCAATTAAACATATGTGCATTCTGAATGGTGTGGAGCTAGAGAGAGAAGAATCAAGAAGAATCCCAAGGTTTTTGACCCAAGCAACTGGGAGAATAGAAGTGTCTTTAACTGGAATAGGAAAACTGGTATAAGAGTTAGTTTGTGGAATGAAGAACAAGGGATTTCTTATGGACACCTTTATTACTTAGCTCTCCACATAGACTCTAACTCACTGAGGGCAGGTAATGTGATTTAAGCCTTCTTCCACCCCCAATAGTGCCTGGTACATATGGAACTGAGCAGGACCCAGTGAGGGCTTCCTGGGGATAGACTCCCACCGCCCATGTCCCCCACCTGTTGTTTGTGGAAAAGCTCTAGCCTCCTAGGCCTTCCCTGAGTTCCAAAGAGCAAATTTAATCTGAGAAGTGAGAAAATGCAGAGACAAAGGAAAACAGTCAAACAAAACAAAATAATAATAGTTTAACCATAGAACAAAATCAAGGACCTTTAGTTGCCCCTCAAGGGCTATAGATAATATTCTGAGCCATATCCTTGAGTTGTTTTATAGATACTAAACCCCCCACCAGGTAGAAGAAGTCTACTGCGTGCTGACCACCAGCACGTGTAGACCCCAGATTGGTTGGAACCAGATGGTAGATGGTGCTGACTCCCAAAATATCACCCATTTACCTCACCACCAACCAGTCAGAAGGATGTCTATGAGCTGACCATGCATCCCTCAAACCTTTCCTCTACCTTGCCTTTAAAAAGGCTTCCCTGAAAGACTTTGGGGAGTTCAGGTCTTCTGAGCATAGAGCTGTCTGTTCTCCTTACAATAAACGCTGTACTTTCCTTCACCACAACCTGGTGTCAGTAGATTGGCTTTGCTGGGCACAGATGAGCAGACCCAAGTTTGGTTTGGCAACACTTGGATGGTGTCAGTAGATTGGCTTTGCTGGGCACAGATGAGCAGACCCAAGTTTGGTTTGGCAACACTTGGATGAGGTAGCACTTGAGCTGGATCTTAAAACAAGGGCTGGGATGTGATGGGAAGATTGTTGACAAGGAGGGCACACATGAGCAGAGGTATAGATAAGGGAGCATTTGGGGTACTTTACAGGCTAGTTAGTTGAAATGTGAAATGTATATAGCAAAGTGGTGGGAGATGAGATTAGAAAAGTAGGTTGGGGCCGTACTTAGTTCATAAAAGCCTGAATGCTAGAATAAGAAGTATTATTTTGCAGGCAATAGGGAAAATCTGGTGATTTTTGATTAAGGAGATGACACAGTAATGTTTTTGAAAATTAATTGGACAGTGTTGCCCAGAATCCATTTGAGATGGGAGATCCCTGTACGGATGCAACTGTAGTGGTCCTGGGTAGAGTCAGGGAGGGGCCTGCAGTAGACTGAAATGAAAAGGAGATGGATGTATGAGATACAGCTAGGCTGGGATGTCTGAACTTGGTCACTAGTAATTTCCTATGGGAATTGAGCAAATTGATCAATCTGCATTTTCAATACTTGGGAATTTTTAGTAGGAAATCATAACCTAGGACCCTGTCAAGGTTGGTGCTCCTTCTATAACCTTGTTTTAGTTAGTGTTACAGAGCTCCCTAGGGTGGGATAGAGTTCTGTGATTGAGGGAGTAGGTAGAGTGTCAGAAACAGATGAACGACCCCTGGGAGTCACAGGCTTGTAATCTGATACAGTTGCCTGTATAAAAATGCCTGTATGAAATCAGGAGCTTTCTCCTGATCTCGTGGTTGGTAAAGCATGGGCTTTGTAGTAAGACCTGGGTTGGAATATGGCTTCTCCACTTTCTAGCCATTCAACTTTGGGCCTCAGTTTCCTTCCCGATAAAACAAGGTTGTTGTAAGAATTAAATTTTAAAAGGATAAAATACATAAAATGCTTACCATAATACTATAGTAGGAATGGCAGTGACTGGTGCCTGGTTGAATTTGCCGTGCAGAATTTGATGTTCAAGCTCAAGTTTCTTCTTCTCATTTTGTATTCTGCCATTATGGCTTTGTCTCTCTGAAGCAGGCTGTCCCTGTCACTCACCAAAATACAGAGGACAAGGTGTCAGTGACCTTTAAAGAACTTTCTCTTTGTGCTCTCTTTTAAACCGGGGAGTTGAAGGAGGGTTTTGGTGGGAAAGTGGAGAACGCTGAGAAGTGAAGGAAGAGAGAGTTGGAGGGAGGGAGGGATGCCCAGAGTTACAAGTGTGTGGAAGGGGTGGCTATGACGGTAAAAACCAAGTCTCCGGTCGCATTTCTTTTCTACACGGAAACGGGAGTTTGCTGCAATCGGCCCGGGAAAACTATCGTTTGGGTTTTTTTTTCTGCGCATGTCGAGGTCTTTTGTCCCTCGGCGGACGCCGTTTGCCAGCCTAGGCTATGTCTCCGCGCTCGTCGCCTCCGTAGGGTGCCGGGTTCTACCTTGCTTCCCAGGCTCGCCATGGCGAGCCGAGGGGCCCGGCAGCGCCTGAAGGGCAGCGGGGGCAGCGGCGGGGACCCGGCCTCGGCCGCGGACAAGCTGCGGGAGCTGCTGTGCGGCCGAGAGGCGGGCGGCGCGGAGCCCC